GCCGTACTTTGGTCAGGAAATATTAACAATGTGAAACTAAAGGTGGCTTGCACTTAGGGACTTGCACCCTTGTGCTCTGCTTATGCCATGGGAAGAACATGCCCACGTGAGCCTGCTGACCTCCAAAGAAAATGAGAGATGCACACAGCCAAGCTGCCCAGCTGAGACCAACAGGGCCACGCTTCCTGCTGTGCGCTGCTGAGAAGTCTGTGGCTGGACAATAAAATGGGCTATGTCCACCTAAGGGAATACTAGACACCAATGAGCATGTGCAAACTACACCTATCAACTAACACTAGGGCTAAGTCTCAGGAACATACCATTAAGGAACAGAAGCCAAACACAAAAAGGTGCACAGCATGTTTCCAATCATGGGACACCCGAAAACAGGTTGATCTAATGTCAATGTTAGAATTCTGAAGCGAGGGTCGTGACTGAAAGAAACTTCTTCGATTTCTGTCTATTCCATTTCAGAAGGGACATCAGGAACCACAGATAGGTTCATTTGTGAAGCTTACCCAAACTGCGTACTTCTGCTTTTCTGCACAGATTGCCTATTTAAATGAAGGGTTTGCGGATTACCTGCGGGGGTGGGAAAACTTACTGAGGTGTGGAGACAGAGAAGGGCAGTTTTCAAGGTCTGCGGTTTTTATAAGTGCTTGTGTCGTTGGAGTTGCTTCTTCGTCCAAAACTGTGGCTTTGTTGAAATAAGCCCTGACATTCTTTGCTGTAGGAAGCTCTTGAAAAACATCCACAAAGTAGTTACTGGTGGCCCACCCAACCACCATCAGGCATAAGGTAAACAGCAACAGTATCCGGACTCTGTAGGAGAGGTGGAAAGTCAGGTTGAAGCCCATGTCTTTCAGTATGTGAGCTTATGTACCTCGCCGCTGCACTGCAGGCTGGAAGATCTTCCGGTTAAACTTTTCCCATCTGATGATAAAACGGATGCACCAAGCAAGGACGCAGTGCCTGCTTTCACTCAGTAGCTCGGCTCCACCAACCTCTAAAAGACAATGAGCAAAAGACACTTCGTTTCCAAAGAAAAGACTTTCCCCAAACCACAACACAGAAGGCAACCCTGTCTTCAACAGACTTTGCTCCTGAACGAGATGGGCTGACAGTGGCTACAGGGGACTCAAACAGAACGACAGTTGGGAGTTGTGAGGCTGGCGCAGGACCAGGTTGGTGTCTCATTCTGTTGTACAAGTCAGAACCGGCTGAAAGGCATCTCACGACCACCACCACCACCACCACCACCACGAGTCATGCCACATCTCCAACTCTGGCTTCTCTCGCTGCCATCCAGTGCATGCTAATGCACTCGGCAACTCTCCAGGGCAGAGAGAACTGCCCCTCAGCATTTGTGAGACTGTAACTCTTTACAGGAGTAGAAATCCTCATCTTTAACCCTCTGGGCATAGAGATTAAAAACAACAGAGATTATAGGGTAGATGGTCCCAACCATCTCCAAATCCAGGGAGGTCTCTTGGAATTCTCTCTCAGGCTATCTGTCACCCCAGAAAAGAAGCCATTTCCTAATGCTGCGTGGGAGAAGACCAAGGCGGGAAAAGGGACTGCAAATGCTTGCTCGACACAATCTAAAAACTGTTGTTGTTGTTGTTGTTGTTGTTGTTGTTGTGTGCCAAAGTGTTGATTCCAACTCATAGAAGCCCTGCGGGCTGAGAGGTCATCTCTACAGGAGCAGCCCCCAGTCTTGTCTCCCCGAGAACAGTTTGTGGGTTTGAACGCCCATCTTCCCTTTAGGGGCCCAGCACTTAGACTATGCTCTCTTCTTCAGTTGTCCCTTCCTGGCATGACTTTAAGGGAAGCTTAGCGAATGGGAATTTTACTGCAGGAGTGTATTATTTCCCCAACTTTTTTTTTCCTTAAACAGTTTTATTGGCACATAATCCACATATCACACAATTCAACAGTTCAATCCTATCGAGAAGACTTGTACAATCATTACCACAATCAATTTCAAGACATTTTCTTCTTTCCTGTGCTCGTTATTAGCTCCTCATTTCCTCCCCCCAACCTTCCCCACCGTATCCCCAAGAAACCACGAATCCAGTTACTGTCTCTATAGATATACCTATCCTGGATTCCACATACAGAAAAACATACCGCAAGAAATAACCACACAAAAGCAGTGTATTTTGACCCAAAGAGAAAAGACCAGAGCTTTCTCTGACACAGAAAAACAGAAAGGAAAGTCAAAGTGATGGGCACGGAGCACATCCCAACAATAAGACAGTGCGGGCTCCGAGAGACTGCCAGCACAGGAGAATCTGTAAGGTTAACAGTGGGGTTCCTCAAGGACTGAGAGCACAGTGTGTCAGATAAGGGCTGTGGAATTAAGATGGAAACGAGGGGTTATTAATGACCTCAAGCATTTTGCAATCAGCTGCGGATCTAAAGGTTGGTGATGGGAACCCACTCTTCAGCTACGCAGAAGAAAGGCCTGGCAAACAGCTTCCATTGAGACGACAGCCAGAAAACCCGGTGGGCTGTACGACTCTAACACAGGGGCTCAACAGGAGTCAGAGATGAACAGACAGCAATGGGTTGGGTTGGTTTGTCTTTTCAGTTCCCACACATACCAGCCATATAACCTCGGGCCAAGCACTTGACTGACTCTGTTTCCTTTACCTTCTAATAAACAAACTCAAACTCACCGTCCTGGGGTGTATTCTGGCTCATAGTAACCCCATAACAGTGGTTCTCAACCTGTGGGTCGCAACCCCTTTGAGGGTCGAATAACCCTTTAACACGGGTTGCCCAATTCATAACAGTAGCAAAACTACAGTTATGAAGTAGCAACAAAAATCATTTTATGGTCGGGGTTCATCACCACATGAGGAACGGTATTAAAGGGTTGCGGCATTAGGAAGGTTGAGAACCACTGCCTTATAGGAAAGAGTAGAACTGCCCTGTGGGTTTCTGACACTGTTTTCTAAGGAGTAGAAAGCCTCATCTTTTTTCCTACAGATCAGGGGGTGCTTTTGAACTGCTGACCATGAGGTGAGCAGCTCAGTGTGCTATACCACCAGGGCTCCTCCACGGTATAATAGGAATAAAAATATGTCCAACCTAGATCCAATGTACTGGTCAGATAGTCTAAAGGAAATCCCGAGGCAATGGCATTAATCACTACATCCTGGAAAGGAGTCAGCCCCTCCTCAGAAAAAAGATAAGACGTCCTGTTCCCATAAAGTTTATAGCCTAAGAAACCCCAGGGGCAGTTCTACCCAACTCATAAAGTCACTATGTGACTTGCATCCCAAGGACAGGCAGGCCTAAAGAGTGAACAATAACTAGAGAGGGAAGTCCTCCCCAGAACCATCAACAGTTTAAGATCAAGAGGACAAAGTGCAGAAGGCAAGAAGGGTCAAAATAAAGGAAAGGAGAAGCCCAGGACAGATGTGGGATGAGCGAGGTCACCCTGTGGGATCTACAGTCAATGGAATGAAACAAAATGTGCATGACCTATTGAATGGACAGCTGACTTGCTCTGAACCTCACTCAAGTTCACAATTTAAAGTTAAATGCATATAGAAATGTGGCCAGAGTGCTCCTTAGAGGCAAGCATGGCAAGACTGCATCTGGCATTCTTTGGGCAGGCTGTCAGGAGATAGCAGTCCCTGGAGAAGGACAGCATGGTTGGTAAAGCGGAGGGGCAGTGAAAAAGAGGAAGAGCCTCCATGAGATGGCTTAACACACTGGCTGCAGCAATGAGCTCAGGCATAAGAACACGTGTGAAGGTGGCGCAGGACCGGGTGGTCTTTTGTTCCCTTGTGTGTAGTAGGCTCTCTGTGGTGGGGACCAACTCAAGGGCACCTAACAACAACATCAGAGAGGTTACTGCAGCAACTTACTAGCCTAA